GATATTTTCTAGGGATTCCAGAGAACATTTTTTTTTCTCTTAATGATGTGCATTCTGAGAGATGTTTGAATAAGGTTTATTTATTTGATTTGCTTACTAATTATTTATTTATTATTTACTTATTCATTCTTTATTCACTATTTATTTGACTTATTTATGTCTTTCCTTTACTGACTTAGTCCTCAAATAGCCTCAACAGCTAGGGCTAAGCCAGGCTGAAGCCAGAAGCCAGGAGCTGCAGCTGACCCGAGTCCTTGAGCCATTCTCCACTACTTTCTCAGGCTCTCTACAAAGCAGCTGTATTAGAAGCAGAGAAGCCAGGACTCAAAAACCATGCAAGTACCAACTTAATCTACTAGGCCACAACACCAGTCTTTCTGAGAGATATTTAAACTTTCATGCATATTGACCTTAAATTGCATAATTCGATTATATCAAAAATTATATCATGTCTAGGAAGTTAAAAGCAGATTATAGACATTTTGAAAAAATTTCAATTTAGTAACAGGTAAAACAAAATTTTCTGCTTAGGTTTTGTTTTTTAAGGAGGATTTATTTATTTTTCTGAAATGCAGTGTTTTATAGAGCGGGGACAAAGCAGAGAGGAGACAGAGAGAAAATCTTTTATGTGCTGGCTTATTTTTCAAATGGCCACAATAGCCATGGCCCAAGCAAAGAGGCACCAAGGGATGACCTGAAGTGTCAATTTAAGGTTCTGAAGCCACACACACACACACACACACACACACACACACACACACACACACACAGGTCTGCTATCTACTGATTCCCTAGTGATGGCTACAGCCAGCCAGGGCTGGACCAGGCTGAAGCTGGGACTTATGCACTTCATCCAGGTCTCCTACATCTTCTGTTGCTTTTCCCAGGACATTAGCAGGGAGCTGAGTTGGAGGACAGGGACCAGCATCCATAGGGAATGCTGGCATCAGAAGTTGTGACCTTTTCTGCTATGCCTCAATGCTGGATGGGACTAAAACAGTTTGAGACACTGTAAGTTCAAAAGTGAGGCAAAATGCCAAAACTCATTTATGTTAACTTCTTTCTGATCATCACAACTTTGTCTTGGAAGGGATTATTATTGTCTCTTCTTGTGTTTTTATTCAGTCCCCACCTTCTCCTGGCTGCCCTCTCCTCTCTGTGTCCCTGAGGTTTTCCACATTTTATCATCTTCCCTCTTAAAATGATGGTGTCAGTCTTTGCCTGCACCTTTTATTCCATCAGTTGCTCACTGGAAAAAGTGATTGTGCTAATCTCCTTTACTCCTGAGGGCTCCCCAACTGATACTTTGAGTCTCTGTTGCCTTGGCCAGTAGTTGATGTTAATCATTTCCAATAGAATGTGCATTTTCCCATCTTCTTAGCTACTTCCATTATCAGAATTTATGCTAGTATAAAAATGCCATTTGGCCCTGGGAAAAAGATTTTTTTTCTCTCCCTCCCTCTGAAGTGTATTAACCTGAAAGTGGTCAGATTGGACTTTACAACCGTAAAGTTGCCTTAAGGCTCTTGAAGCTATTTGGTTATGTTGGTGAAGTTACCTTGAGGTTGAATAGGCATTGCAGAGGTTGATAAATGCCTTCCTGTGTGTCCTGTTTTTTTTTTTTTAACTGGATATCACCCATCTCTCAAACTTAGATTTCTAAGTAAACTAGATGCATTTTTCACGAATTTGAGTCTTTCTTTTTTAATTTTTTAAAGCTTTATTTTTATTGGAAAGGTGGATATACAGAAAGGAGGAGAGACAGAGAGGAAGATCTTCCATCTGATGGTTCACTCCCCAAGTGACTACAATGGCCAGAGCTGAGCCTATCATAACCCAGGAGCCAGGAGTTCTCCCAGGTCTCCCACACAGGTGCAGCGTCCCAAAGATTTGGGCTGCCCTCGACTGCTTTCCCAGGCCATAAGCAGGGGCCTGGATGGAAAGTGGGGCCGCCGGCATTAGAACCGGCGCCCATATGGGATCCCGGCACGTGCAAGGCGAGGACTTTAACCACTACGCTATTGTACCAGGTCCCAGTGTTTGAGTCTTTCTTATGATTCCTTCTTCATTTTCTGGGCTGAAGTTTTCCTTTTACCATACTGTTACTCCCACAAAAACTCTGTGTGATCTTTCCGTAAGATGTCAACAGATGCCAAATGATACTTGAGGCTCCACAGTTACTATGACCCATTACCCTGTCACTCGTAGAAAAAGGAGCATGAAGGGTGTGTGCAAAACATTGCTGGAGTTTGACAAGAAACAGATACATTTTTAGTATAATTTTTTAAGGATTTATTTATTCTTATTTCAAAGGCAGATTTACAGGGAGGAGAGATAGAGAAGGTCTCCCATCTGCTGGTTCACTCTCCAGATGTTCACAATGGCCAGAACTGAGCTGAAGCCAAGAGCCTCTTCCACATCTTCCACGTGGTACCGGGGTCCCAAGGATTTGGACCATTTTCCACTGCTTTCCCAGGCCATAAGAAGAGAGCTGAATCAGAAATGGAGCAGCTGGATACATATTGGCATCCATATGAAATGCCAGTACCACAGAGTGTGAAGGATTAGCCTGTTGATCCATGGCACTGGCCCTTTAGTTTTTATTTTAATTTAATCTCTTACAACCAGCTTCATATAAATGTTTTATCATCTCCATACTAATAGACCAGCAAACCTACAGAGAATAGTTTGTTATCTATATATAATCTGCTTACTCAAAAATATCTCATGTTTGAAATGCTTGATTCAGCATTGAGTGGACCAAATATTTGCCTTAGAAAATTATTTAATCTCATATAAACATAAACACAGAAAGTCTCTTTTCAGTAAAAGGCTGAATGAGGATCTGGCACAGTGGGTCAATGGCAAAACTGTCACCTTGCAAGTGCCAGAATCCCATATGGACACCAGTTTGTGGCCTGGGAAAGCAGTAGAGGATGGTCCAAAGCCTTGGGACCCTGCGCCTGCACATGGCAGACCTGGAAGAAGCTCCTGGCTCCTGGCTTTGGATTGACTCACCTCTGGCCACTGAAGCCATCTGAGTGAAGAGTGAACCAGTGGATGGAATATCTTCTCCTCTGTATCTGCTCTGCAGATCTGCCTTTTCAATAAAAATAAGTCCTTAAAAAAAAAGAAAAAATGTTGAATGACTCTAAGCTTTTATAAACTCACTGTGGATTATTATTGCTCATGTAATTTTCTGGATTTTTAAAGATATATAATAATTATGATTTTTATTGAAGATCTGCTGGCTTGAAGCAACAGAAATTAATTGTGAGTGATATAAATGGAAATGCTGGAAATGCTGACTGACCACAAAATCAAGGGCACAGCTAAGGGACCTGATGTCCCCATTATGATCCCACGCCTGTGGCGGCTGATGGAGCAGACCTTGGGCTACTGCGATTGGTTGACCCAGCTGTAGCACCTCCTCCCTGAGTATCTGCAAAAGATTCACATTTCCAAGAAAATTGGATAGTCTGGCTTGGGCCACATGCAATTGCCCAAAAACTTCTATCAGCATTGTTTTCCCGTGGCCTTGTGACCCACATGGGGAAGCCTCAAGGAATCTCTCTGTCACTCTGACTTTAGCTATAGATATAGATATAGATATAGATATAGATATAGATATAGATATAGATATAGATATAGATATAGATATAGATATAGATATAGATATAGATATAGATATAGATATAGATACAGATATAGATTCTTATAGGAAAAGACAAGATCAAGGTTTCAGTGTTAGATATTATTTTTTTTTTCTGAAATGTAAAGTGCCTAGAGGTAGGAGGCATATTTTGGACCAAAATTTTTTTAAAAAAGCATATTTTGAAAAAAGTGAGATTTTAGAAAAATTTTTAAAACTTCCAAGAACAGATTAGATAATGACTTCAAATTGGAAAAGAGATTTGGTGAGCATGTTTTTCCCCATCAGGTAATTAATCCTTTAAAGGCAAAATCTGAAGCTCGTGTATTAAAATTCTGTTTAGAACAGGATTTATGCCTAAATGAAGTCATTGCTGATGGATACAATTAATGATGAGCAAAAGCACTGCTCCCCTCTGCCCAGGTATATTTCTACCACTGAAATGCATACTTGATCAAATCCATGCTTTGACACTCATGATAGACGTCAAATGCCATCTTTGAGAAATCAGAATGTTCCTGTTTTAAAGAATGCCTTTTCTCTACTGAGTATCAGTCACCTGAGCGTAAAACTCAGAGACTTTTCAAAGCAGGGAAATCAGGCAGTGGAAGCCCATGGTTTGCACCTAACCTCTAGAAGGCCAAAGGGCAAGGGCAGTATGTGTTCAGAAGTCAGTTGGTCCTTTGCTTAAGGAGCAGCAAGGTAAAAATCAAGATGAGAGTCAGTTATGATGATATCCAGTCAAGGGGAAGCATTTAGCTAAAGTGCTGCATCATAGCTCTTCCATTCTTAATCTAAAAGAAAGTGATTCTGTTTGTAGTGTGGAGTTTAATAGACATAGTTAATTTGAAACTTGTGGTCAGATCAGGTGTGATATCCTAAGTTCATAGATGGAAGATGATTTTGTGCATATTCACAAGTTATGTACTGGTCATCCAACCCCACGTAACACTTTCTTAAATTCACTGGAATTTGTCAGTGGGCAAGAGGAGGAAGGAAAAAGCACAGGATTCATATCCTGATGCCTTGCCAAGACACAGCCCAGAAAGTGGTGTAAGCTGTACACCACCAGAAGCATTTGGGATTGGTGTGATTACAAGCCCACCAAACCCCAGCAAGGGAGAACAAGGCTTTACAAACAAGTGGGATTCAGCTGTGAGAATTACGAAAAAGGGGGACAGTTCTGTTTGGCTATGCACAATTCCTTAGAATCCTTCTGGGTGAAGGTCAAGCTCAGGGACAGCATGCTTTACAGGCACAGCATCCTTTCTTAGTCTGTAAGAAAAAGTAGAGCAGCTGGTTTCCCTCCACATGTGTAAGCCTCCCGTCTTGCTGCTCTCGTTTGCAGGTGTATCCGCGCAGCTCACCAGCACCCGGCACCGTCGGAACACGTCCGTGGGCACGCCGTTTTGGATGGCTCCTGAGGTCAGACAGCGTTTTCATGAAGACAAAAAGAATCTTTGATTCTCTCCGATTTGCGTTTTTATGTGTTTGCTCTCTTCTAAGGAGTATTTTGCAAACACGGCAGAAGAGACTGTCAGTGGTGTGATTTTGATGTGAGGATTTTCTATTTTGTTTTTGTTTTTGCCTCTTTTTTTTTTTTTTGAGTGTGTTAGAGCACTGCAGCTGTGTGGCACGTGCTAGATGGGTATCTGAATCAACGGAAGGTGGAATGAATGAGCAGATCAGACGCGGTAGGGAGAGCCTACTGACTTAGAGCTGTACTTTTCTCACTACATTTACTTTTTATTGTTCAGCATCTATCTGTAGCTTGTGATCTGGTTATTATCCGCGCTGGCTCCAGTGCTGCCCCAAGGGGCTGTGTTTAGGGTCCTGGGTTGAGCCACTGAGACTAGGGTCTGTGCTTGCTTAACACCCCAGTTCCCTTTGGGAAATTGCAAATGAACTGCCAAAACAGGAGAAAGGAAATTTTCAGGAGGAGTCTTCTCCCCGCAGTCCCAATAAATGCCTTCAATCTTTTTAATTACCTTTATCAAAAAAGAACACTTACTTTTGAAAATGCTCTCTGCGCCCACTGGGAAAAGCTCTGCTATTTATCTACTCTTTTCTAGGGAATGAAGAGGGGAGAAGTGATTCAAACACCATATTAATTTTGCAAAATCTTATAATTAAATTTGTTGGAGGATTAATTCTTGAGGTTGTATTTGATCACTGATTCATTGCTACTTATAAAAAGATAAACTTAATATAAAATGCAGAGTGAGGACAAATTATTTTATGAAAGTTAACAATGCATTAAAAAGCTTTGTAGGGGCCCGGCACGGTGGCCTAGCAGCTAAAGTCCTCGCCTTGCCCAAACCAAGATCCCATAAGGGTGCCAGTTCTAATCCCGGCAGCCCCACTTCCCATCCAGCTCCCTGCCTGTGGCCTGGCAAAGCAGTCAAGGATGGCCCAAGGCCTTGGGACCCTGCACCCATGCGGGAGACCCAAAAGAGGCTGTGGACTCCTGGCTTCGAATCTGCACAAGTCCTGCCGTTGCAGTCACTTGGGGAGTGAATCATTGGACAGAAGATCTTCCTCTCTGCATATCTGCTTATCCAATAAAAATAAGTAAATCTATGTTTAAAAAGCATTTTTAGGGCCCAGCGGCGTGGCCTACCAGCTAAAGTCCTCACCTTGAACACGCCGGGATCCCATATGGGCGCCGGTTCTAATCCCGGTGGCCCCACTTCCCATCCAGCTCCCTGCTTGTGGCCTGGGAAAGCAGTCAAGGACGGCCCAAAGCCTTGGGACGCTGCACCTGTGTAGGAGACCCAGAAGAGGTTCCTGGATCCTGGCTTTGGATCGGCATAGCAATGGCTGTTGCAGCTCACTTGGGGAGTGAATCACGGGACGGAAGATCTTCTTCTCTGTCTCTCCTCCTCTCTGTATATCTCACTTTCCAATAAATAATTAAATCTTTTTTTTAAAAAGCATTTTTAAAAAATGATTGCTGGGTGTAATAAAAGTAGGACACACAGGCTAATGTTGTAGCATAGCAAATTAAGCTGTTGCTTACAATGCTGGCTTTCCATTTCACAGTACTAGTTTCAGGCTCGGCCACTGTGCTTCTGCTCCAGCTCTGTGCTGATGTGCCTGGCAAAGCAGTGGAAGGCGGTCTGAGTGCTCCAGCCCCTTGCACCTAAGCGGGAGACACAGACGCAGTGCTGGGTTCCTGGTTTTGGCATGGTTCAGTCTCAGCCATTGCTGCCTTGTCGGGAGTGAACTAGCAGAGGGAGGATTCTCTGTCTCTCTTCCTTTCTGTCACTTTTCCTCTTTTGTTTAAAAATAAGTATTAATCAGTTTTAAAAATAGGACATATAGACATATAAATACAAACAAAATTGAATGAAAGAATCTCAGATGAAAGTTTCTTTAACCTGCTGATACAATTCTAGTGATTTTTAAATTTACAGAAATGTATAAATATGGGAGGTTAATAAATCGTGGTTATTATACCAAACACTATGTGTTGTTTGGCTATTTTAACTAATAGACTATTATGTGATACAAGATATGAAATTATGTTCATGCATATTTAATACCCTAGCTTTATGTTTTCCTATGTGAATTTATAGTAACAAATCCATTATTGTGTATGTAAGTTCATAATTCAGTGAATACTTTCCTTAATAAGTAATTACTTAAGAACCATTTTTCTGACAAATGAAATTTTTCTTTAAACAGGGAAGATTTGCTGCCATTTTTTTCAAGCTGGCATGTAAACATATGTTCAAGATTTTATCGCTATGAATTATATTCACTTATTTACAAAAAATACTTCATAAGCCCAAAGAACATATTTTGCATAATCAGCTTTCTGGTTAAGCAAGACACCCTATATCTACCACTTCTGTGTTATAAATGACAAATTTCAGAGAATTAGAGAACAATAAGCTGAGCAAATGCAAATATAATCACCCTAGCACTACAGGAATATTTTAATAGTCTTCCAGCTTCGGAAGCAAGCTTGTTATCGACTGAAACGTGGAATGCTCAGTTTGGATTTTTTAAGCTGGACACTGTGTCCCAGGTAACATTTTTCTGCGATGTAAAGGCATCTTTCCCCCACACTGGGGGATATGTGTGCCAGGATGAAAAGGATACAGGGAATCATGACTGTGATAGGTGTATCACAAAAATCAGGGGATCCCTAAGTCAGGACCCCTTGGACATGAAAGGGGATGGTGTTTATAATAACTCCAAGACAGCAAGCAAATCAAGAATGATCCAGATGAACTGAGAAATAAATTCACCTGAACTTACGGGGAGATGTTTCTGTACTACATTTAGGAAGTTATAAAACAATGCATTGTTTTGATCCAACAACCATATTGAGGGGGAAGGGAAGCACAGGTATTAAGTTATTTTATTCTATTTTATTTTATTTTATTTTATTTTTATTGTAAAGGCAGATATACAGAGAAGGAGATACAGAGAGAAAGATCTTTGTCTGCTGGTTCACAATCCGAAGCCAGGAGCCAGGAGCCTCTTCCACGTCTCCCATGTGGGTGCAGGGTCCCAGGGCTTTGGTCCATCCTCCGCTGCTTTCCCAGGCCACAAGCAGGGAGCTGAGTAGGAAGTGGAGCAGCCAGGATACAAACCGACACCCATACAGGATCCTGGCAGATGCAAGGCGAGAATTTAGCAACTAGGCTATCGTACTGGGCTCATGAATGGATTTTTAAACTTTTAATGGGTTTATGGAACTATAAGTCACATGACATGGAATTCACTCATTTAGTGGGTATTAAGGTTTTTTGTGTCTGTTCCCAGAGTTGTAAAGCCATGTTATGCTTAGGATGCTTAAAAAGTTTTTTTTTTTAATTATTTTATTTGAAATTCAAAAAGAAGGAGACAGCAAGGGGGATCTTCTATTTGCTGATTCACTTCCCATGTGACTTCCAAGGCTGGGGCTGGGCCAATCTGAAGCCAGGTATCAGGAGTTTTTTCTGGTCTTCCATGCCACTGCAGGATCCCAAGGACTTGGAGAATTCTCCCCTGCTTTCCCAGGTCATCAACAGGGAGTTGTAGCAGAAGCAGAACAGTGGGGGCTCAAACTGGTACCCATATGGGATGCGGGCACCATAGGCAGAAGATAAGCCTGATACACCCTAGCGCTGGCCCCAGCACACTTTCATTAAGCCCTACAAGAACCCAGTACTCCATTGATCATCACTCCCTATCTGGAAACTTCCCCACTCCAAGGACCCATTCATCTGTTTCTTGTCTCTTGCATCATCCCTGTTCTGGACATTTCAGGTAATCATCCAGCAGGTGACTATATATGCGGCTTCCTCTACTTAGTGTGCTATTGTCAACATTCATCATACTCTAGTATCTGTCAGTTCTCCTTTCTTATGGAGGCATGATATTCCCTTGTAAATGTAGATCAGATTAGATTTGTCCATTCATCAGTCAGCAGGCACTTGGGTGATTTCCATGTTGTGCTGTTGTGGGCAACACATTTACCCTGTGCGTTTTAAGGTAAAGCCTGGTACTCCCGTGCTGCACTTTCTGGTTACAGCAATATGCTCTTGTGTGAGATTTAAACATTCTTTCCAAGGATTTTTAGCTCATAAGATAATGTCATCATCATTCTAACTCTGACGTGGGAAGCTGTATTCCTTCTTCCTGTCTTTCCCCTTCTCTATCTATTTATGAGCATATACACAAGGCATTGATAACTTGTGAAAGTTCCTGGTAAATGAGATTTAAAGAAATGTTTGTACCAAAATTTCAAAACCACTTCAACAAGCTGTATTCAAATCATTTTAAAAGATCAGACCTGGTGTGATGACCTAGCGGCTATAGCCCTCGCATTGCATGCACCGGAATCCCATGCGGGAGCTGGTTCTAATCCTGGTGGCGCCACTTCCCATCCAGCTCCCTGGGAAAGCATTCGAGGATGGCTCAAAGACTTGGGACCCTGCGCCCACCTGGGAGACCTGGATGAAGCTTCAGGCTCCTGACTTCAGAACAGTGCAGCTCCAGCAATTGTGGCTGCTTCGGGAGTGAATCATCTGCCGGAAGATCTTCCTCTCTGTTTCTCCTCCCCCTGTATATCTGACTTTGTAATAAAAATAAATAAACATATTTTAAAAGATCATGGAATTGTGTATTTTAAGAAAATAAGTATTGATTTCAAAAAATTTTGCAGGAAAGCAAATATTTGTTTTTAACTTTTTACTTACCTGAAAGGCACAGAAATACCCACAACAGCTGGATCTGGGATCAAGTGTCTTCACTGACATCTTACCAGTGGCAAGCATTTGGTTCTATCTTTTCTGAATGACAAAGGAGTTCATGCTCCAGAGTCTAAATGTTACCAACTAAACTCCAGTTTGCCAAAACACAGAGTTTTTAAAACACGTTCAGCCTTTTAGTAGAGTCAGAAAGATGAAAGTTCCCAAGTTCACTGTACGTATCTTCTTACAGTACCGTAGTTAAATGATGTGATGCAGCCTGTCATTATCTCCAGATCACTCATTATTTTTCTTGGGAGTTGACATTCACAAAAATCGAAACGATTTTTACATGTAAAAACATTCCATGTTTTTCAACTCGGTTGCAGTTGTATATTTTTTGTGGACTCAGATATACGGTTGATAAATTTTCATCAACATCTTTTTTTTGTTGTTCAGTTTGCTTTTACTTTATAAATGTATAACCATTTACATCCCTCCAAACTTGTCTCATTCTTCACTTGGGTTCCTTTGCCTTCTGGCTGCAAGTAGACATAAAGTGATCTGACCGGACTGCCCTCACATGACTTCCTTTACTTGTTGTGTTGTTTTTTGAAAGGGAGAAAGACACAGGGATCTTTCCTTCACTGATTCAATCTCCAAATGCTTGTAACAGCCAAGACTGGGCTAGCTGCAACTGGGAGTAGCAGCTGGGTGCCTAACAGCCCCAGCAAATGCCATGTAATGCTTCCATAGGGGTAGCAGGGACCCAAGTGCCTGAGCCTTCATCTGCTACTCTCCAGGGTGCACGTCAACAAGAAATTGGAATCAGGAGGGAAGCTGGGATTTAAATGCAGGCATTCCAATACGGAATTCAGGCATCTCCAACATCTTAGCAGCCATGCCAAATGCCTGACACTACTTCCATTACTTTTAAATCCCTCAAGATGACTTTCGCCCAGGTGGCTTCATTCCCTCATCAAAGGGCTGCTGAGTGACTCCATCCCTTTTCATCTGGGTCATTGGGTTTTTTTTCCTCTTTCTGCTTTGTAGTTTGAAATTATTCTTTATCATGGGATTCTTTCTTTATACTTTCCTAGATGCATGAAAAATCTGCCAACAGAATTTCAGTGCTCAAAAATACCGATATAACTGATTTCTTATTTTCTGCTAAGTTTGTTTTTCCTTGTAGCTCTCAAATTCTATTGGATTAAACCTTAAGCTTGGATCTAATCATGCACTATTTGGCTAAGTCACAAACTTCACCTTCTCATCATTGCTTTCCATAGGTGATTGCGTGTGAACAGCAACTGGACACCACTTATGATGCTCGGTGTGACACTTGGTCCCTGGGTATCACTGCCATTGAGCTGGGTGATGGAGATCCTCCACTTGCAGACCTGCATCCCATGAGAGCCCTCTTCAAAATCCCCAGGTCAGACCCTACTGTCAGCAGGACCAGTTCTGCAGCCTCCTCCAGGCTCAGAGTGGTCAACAAGCTCACCTGGAAGAATATTCAGATTTACTTCAACAGTCGAATGCCTTGGGATTTTACTTTGCTTCTATGACCCTGTATTTACAGAGTGGTGCCATTTCCCTGATCTAAGTTGAAGAGCATTGTCTTGAGTATATCTTTTTGTCTTGGCTAGGATTTGGCCTCAGAATTTAGCACTTTTCTCTGTTCCTTATCCATTTGCCAGCAATCCAGAGGGCACCCTGGTCACTAACCAATACCACAGTGGCCTGTTTCACTTCCCTTACCAAGTTAGGAGGGTATTTGTTTTCTTATTACTACCTGCTAAGATTTCTCTCTGATCTAGGCTAGTCCAAATCTAGGAGCCTGGAGCTTCTCCAGGGTCTCCCATGCTGGTACAGGGGCTTAAGGCCTCAGGCCATCCTCTGCTGCCATCTCAGGCCATTAGCAGGCAGTTAGATCAAAAGTGGAACAATCGAGATTTGAACAGACACCCAAACAGAATGATGATTTCTCAAGTGGATTAGTCTACTATACCACTATACTGACCCTGTTCACAACTTTAACATAGGAGAATTATAAATAAAATGTACCAATAAAGTCATGGTAACTTTAAATACTCAGGTAGAAGTATTTTGAATATATTAATGTAGAGCAGCAAATTTAGAGGAAAATTCCCTTTGGAGCTGTGAAAAACTATTCTTGGCAGATGTGCTTTCTTCTACTTTTTGTATCTCCAATTTCTCTAAACACTGTTAATATTTGTGTTAAATAATTACTACATATTTCAGAAGACATATATGAACAGATTCCCTGTCTTTATTATAGGTATGTCATTTTCAAAATCTTGTTTCAGGGCTCCACCTGGTACCTGAATTATAATTAACAGTCCATGCAGATCCTTCCTGACAAGGAGCCAGGATGTGCCACCAGGGTAGATTATCAGATGTCCAGTTTGTCACCACATACTCCACTATACAAATGTGGTCCTGGTCCTATAAAACTCAGAAGCAAGTATAGAAAGCTGTAGCACAGAATGTTCTAATCCTCAAGAAACTAGGATTTGTTTGGATTTCCTGTCCAATGTGTATGCCCCAAACTATACCTTAGATATATGTTATGTTACATAGCAATTTTAGTATTAATTCAGGCTATATTATTTATAAAATCAATGACCTGTTTGGTAAATGGGGGAACAAGGTTACGGAAAAGAAACTGAAACATGAGCTATACTAAGCACAAAATATTTTGTTAAATTCAGCGAAAACATAGGATTGGCATTCATTGTGACACTGAAATAAGCCAGTATAAGCAGCTCTGGCAATGGCTTGGGTATCAGCTGCCCAACTTCCTGCCAATGCACCTGGGAAAGCAACAGATGATGGCCCAGTGCCTGGCCTTTTCTCATCCATGCAGGAAGCCAGGATTCAGTTTCAGCTTGGCTCATACCTGGCTGTGGTAGTCATTCATGGAGTAAACCAAAGGATGAGAGATCTCTGTTTCTCTCTGCCTCTACCCCTCATCTTCTCCATCTCCCTGCCTTTCAAATAAATAAATGTCTTTAAAAATAATTTTTAAAAGATTAATTTTTATTTCAGAGTTACAGAGAGAAGGAGAAAGAGACAAAGAAAGATAGATTTAATCTGCTGTTTGACTCCCTCAATGATCAGAGCTGGAACTGGCTGAAGCCAGGTACCTGGAACTCCATCTAGGTCTTCCATGTTGGTAGCAGGCACCCAGGAATTTGGGCCACCCTGCTGCTTCCTAGATACATTAGCAGGGAGCTGGATCAGAAGTAGAGCAGAACAGGTGCTCATATGAGATGTCAGCATTGCAGACCATCAGCAGCAGCTTAACCCATTTTTGCCACAATGCCAGTCCCACTTTTTATGTATCTCCCCACGGAGCACCAAGACCGCTGATTGTGCAAATACGTAGAAAAAAGGAATCTGAAAAACTACCCAGTTCTGACCATTCTGAAATCATCCAAGCTTTCTTGTGGCAAAGTAACCCAATAAATCTTAAACTAGGAAATTTTCAAGAGGCCAAGAAACAATAAACTAGACCATTGGAGGAAAGTATTACTTATTGCCATGTTCATCTAGCTTCACTTGTGAGCCAAACTTGAGCATGATGCGGGGCAAGTGAGTAGCTAAGCCTCTCCCCGCTGAACCCATATAATTGTACATGAGGTTCACAAGAAGCCTTTCAAGGAGTAGTGCAGAGCTGCTGATAAAAAGCACCTCCATTCTTTTTGTGCCGAAATGAACATTTGGTAGCACTTCAACCTGCTCAGCCATCACACCTCGGCTGATCACATGAAGCAGCCCATCTCCTTGCCAAGTAATGCTTCTTTGTAGCTATCAGCCCGCCAGAAATACAGAGGTTTGCTCTGCTTAGAATGAAACAACTGACTAATGAAATCTCTGAAGTGGTGTTCAGAGCCTTGTAGCAAATAACATGCTCTAGTTCCTTATATGTGTAACACTTTTACGCCCCTTGTTTCCTGCTATGAATCTAATAACAAAAGCATCCCGACTCCTGAAACCATTTCCTCCCAGATCTAAACAACTCCCCCTGCAGGTCATCCCTTGGCACCCACAGCACTCCTCTGCTGGACTAACAAAATCTTCCCCCGGTACTCACTGTTTCTGTTATGTTAGGTATTGATGGCTTGGCTTAGGGCTCACAAATAAAAGCCAGTTTCTTTAAGAGGAAAGAAAAAAAAAAAGTGAACCATTTAGTGCTTTGCATTATGGCACAGCCAATTAAGCTATCACTTGCAACTCTGGCTGCCCACTTCCACCCAGATCCCTGCTAATGTGCTTGGGAAAGCAATGGAAAATGGCTCAGGCCTTGGGACCTGCACCCATGTAGGAGACTCAAAATAAGCTCCTGGATCCTGGATTCAGTTTGCCTCTGTTCTGACCATCACAGTCTTTTGGGGAGTGAACCAGCAAGATCTTTCTGTCTCTCTCTCTCTCTCTCTCTCTCTCTCTCTCTCTCTCACACACACACACACACACACACATTTTTTCTTTTTTACTCTGCCTTTCAAATAAGTACATCTTTTTTGAAAAAAAAAAATAAAACATTGGAGATACTAGGTCATATATTAGTGTTTTCAGAGAACCCACCATTTTATATCAAGAATGACTAATTACCCATTTTTGAGTTGGGAAATAATGCTGATTCTTAGTCATAACCGGCAGATCTTGTCACCGTGGCCATGCCTTAGCTTGTGGGGCCCAGCGTCTTTGTATGCTTGGACTGACCAGTGTACACAATCCATATCTGGCTCTTCTTTTTCCAGGAATCCACCACCAAAACTAAGGCAGCCTGAGCTGTGGTCAGCAGAGTTCAACGACTTTATCAGCAAGTGAGTAAGACAGAGACACTGCTAACTGTGATGTCAGAACAGACCTTTTAAGTGATGCCATTGCCCTTCTCAGTCTCTCCCAGAAGTTTCCATTCTGTTCTAGGAAAGAAGTAGCAATAGGCCCTTCAAATGTCTGCTCAGAGAGTGGGCTCTGGGTCTTGTGTGTCCACAGCTCTGCTTCTGTACTTTCCTGGCCTCTCCCCTCTCTCCTATACACACTCTCCTGTCCACCTGCCTTTTGTCACTGTGCCCTCACCGTCTCCACTGAGCCATGATCTTCTCAGTTACTTAATTTTCCATTTCTCTCCATTATTAACACTCATTACAGTGAGACAATTTTCATCAGGATCAGTGAATCGCATAATCGTGTTTAGAACATGCTTATGCTTTTGAAATTCAATGAACAGTTTAAGTAGGACAAATATTTGGTCAAGAACAATGTCCCCAGGCAACTGAATAGGAACTAGGAGTCTACAGTATCTAAAAATCTGATTATAAATCTTCATCACAGTTTTATTCCACCTTCACCTTCAACAGGTAAGGTGTTGGAAGACCCCCTTGGTTAGTGCATTGGAGAGAGCATCAGTAGAAGTTAATCTGGCAAACTTCACAAAAGAAATGTGACTCTCCCTTGAGATCTGATAAGTGTGATTGCCATTTCTTAAATATAATACAGTTCAGAGCACCTGCTCAGGGATGTTGCCAAGTGAAGGTGCAGAGGCCAAGGCTCATCTAGTCTCCATGTGTTCTCACAAACTGCCTCTCAGCCTCTTTAGAGGGAAGGGAGGCAACACTGGCTGTGTGTACCAATACCCCTGGTTCCTTCCACATGCATCAGTGGATGTGAGCTCTCTCTCCTTTGACCTGTCAAGAAGCAATGATACACATTAGTCCTCAAAAGACATCTGACCTGCGCTTCAGCATCCTCAGTGGGTTAGCTCTCACTCGTCACGTGGGTTAGCAGTTTTTACAACCAAGAAGCCGTTGAAAGCATTCACAAAGGGAAATGAAAAATGTGTGTTCACTTTGCGTAAGTGTGGAAACTGGAAAGCCTTCATAGGCACTGATCTTTAGCTTCTGACTTTGGACCACTAGTGGAGATTCAGAGTATTTACTCCCATGCAGGCATACCACCAGCTGGGAGACTGGGGAGGTGGCGTGTGATTGAAAATCAGCATCCTGGCCACATCATTACCCACAGATGCATTCACCTTCATCAGCAGGTGTTTCATCATATTCTACAGTTTAACAATTTTTTTTGAGATGAGCCTGGGCTGAACGCGTGTGGGTAGCATCATTCTCTTCTGTTAGTGTTTTAGGAATGTGAATAATCACGTGTTCCTATTTTGCCAGTGCAGGTGCCTGATTAAAGATTATGAGAAGCGTCCAACAGTGTCAGATCTGTTGCAGCATAAATTCATTGCCCAAATTGAAGGCAAAGATGTGATGCTACAAAAACAGCTCATGGAATTCATCGACATTCATCAATGTATGGGAGGCACGGAAAAGGCCAGGTATTCCGATGCTGTCTCGAGAATCCAAAAACTCCCTTAAGACTGTAAAGCTTTACAATGCAGTAATTATAAAGGTTTTAAAAAAAAAGGCTTTGTGAAGTGCCCTGGTTGTGACCATAGCTTTGCAGGCGTAGTGAGTAGCTGGTGTTGTGTGGCTCCCTGAGTTTGGTCGAACTTCTGGCAGCACCCTTCCAGCAACTTCCTCAGAATGCAGCATATTTTCTTCATTAGAGGATGGGTAGGGACATATATTTTCTTACATAGTTTCTTCTGCTGGCCTATAGTTCGAGATGTCAGATCTGGGATTTCGGCAGTGCCCTTGGAGTCTGTCTGTCTGTCTCTCTTTCAAATAAACGTTAAAAGCTGCTATAGAAAACAGCTGTATACTAGACACTGAGTTAGGTGCAGGACTTGCACCTTGGAATTACAGGATGTATTCTTGTTATCCCATTAAAAATTTAGAATATGTTGTCAAAACAAAAACTTATGCATTACTCAATTAAGGGAACTTTCAGTCGTTATTCTTTTCAGCTATTGATTCTTTAATTCTTTTTCTCCTGAAAGGTAAATGTTGAAACTTCCAAATTTGCCTTACGTTTTTTTGGTAAATTTCTTCCACATTCTTCATCCACTCATCAGTCTCTGCCTCGTGCCTCAGTCTCTGCATTCTTCCATGTGTTTCTGATTCGCCAATTTTCTCATGGGACTGGGCTTGGTCTAGAAGTGAACACATTTATTACATTTTCCGTTAATTCTGTGTCAATATCTATGATTTCTCTTTTTTTTTCCTTTTAACTAAATATTTTATTTTCACATCTTACAAGATATTCATATAACACAAACTGTCCCACATCTAATAAAAAAAACTGATGGCTTGAACCAGATACTTTTAATGCTGCATGGTCGGGCAACATGGTAGTGTGTCTCCTGTCTGTGAATCCTTTGAGCTGTTTCAAAGGTGTCCATGTTGTGTAACATACACAAATGATCAAATATCAGACCAGCTCATTTTTTTTCATAAATTCTATTCTGTTCAGTTTCTCCTCGAGCTTAAAGATTTTTTCAAAATCTTTAAAATCTGAAAAGCTGCTTTCAGATTCGCATTTCAACAAAGCTGACGTGTTCTGATTATTGAGCTCATTTGTTTACTTAATACGTAACCTCCTTCTATAGATTAGCATTTCAGCATTTCCTATCTGGATGAGAATGCTCCCGATTTCTTTTTCCTTTCCACCCACATTATCTTCTTCTTTGTGTGTTTTGCTGTCACCATAGTCTGACTTCAAGATCCCCCAGTCCAGAGCCCTTCCTACATCAGGATTTGAAAAGCATTGCAGACCTGGGGTGAGAATGTAGTCTTCAGATCTGTGATCCATCCTGAAGTCTCAAGCACTCAAAGGCAGGTGCAGTGGTTTCCCACTTTTCTCTTTCAAGTGGGGTACCCCCACATCCAGTCCCATTCGTGCCCGCAGTCCTGGGTCAGGGTCTTTCTCCTCCAGGCCTCTACTGACCATATCTGGTTCTGCACTTGGAGTCAGCCCTGTGGTTTCTCACCCAATGTGTCTGACAGGTTAGGCCTCCTGTAACACTCATCTTCTTGTAGAAAACATCTCTTTTTCATTTTATTTTTAAATATTTAAAGAAAGTTTTTCTTTCCATGAGTGAAAGCGGAGTTATGGGCATTGACCTCCACACCCTCTTGACCACGAATCTGAGACCCAAGGCAAAGGAAAGGGTTGATTTTCTTGTCCTCGGCATTCAGTCACCTCACTTTGAGATGGACTGTGGCAAAAGAGCAGAAACTCAGCTATATTTTTCGCAGCACACTGGATAGAGTCACTTTCTTGAAGATTGTACTATTTGACTTGTCACAGTTCATGCTATTGGTAGAATTGAACTAAAATATGACTGTCCTAAGTCAACATGGCTAACTCAAAGCTCACATTGTTCTGTGCATGACACCATCCTTCAGAGTTGACGTGAGGTGCATCCTTCAAGAGATCATTTTTCAAGAATTAATACTCATCTGTACAGAAATCTTTCTTTTTTGAAAAGAGAGATTTATTTAAAAAGCAAAGTGATGGAGAGGGGGTGAGACAAAGAGACTCAAATATTTTCTTTTACCCATTCATTCACTACCCAAATGGCTACAACAGCTGGGCCTAGAACAGGTGAAGGCCAGGAGCCAGGAATTCTGTCCCAAGGACCCAAGTCACTGAGCTGTCATCTAGTGTCTTCCCAGGCACATTAGCAAGAAGCTGCTTCAGAGGTAAAGATACCGGGATACTAACCTGTATGTTGATCTTGGATGCCACTGTCACCAGCAGAGGCCCAACACACTGCACCACAGTGCCAGCCTCTGAAGAAAACTGTGTTAAGCTGAGAACTTTAAAGTCTTCATGCTGATGGTGGGAGGAAAGGAGGAGGAGGATGCTACTGGGAGGTACTGTGGAATGAGTGTAAGAACTTTCTTAATACCAATTAAAACCTGGAAATCATGCAGCTTAAACCTACTCCACTGTGCAGAGGAGTGAAGATGTGTGTACAGCATCTGTCTCCTTCAAAGATACACACTCCTGGAATCCCCAGAAAGATGCTTTTTTTTTAAAGATTTTATTTTATTTTTCTTGGAAAGTCAAATATACAGAGAGGAGGAGAGACAGAGAAGAAGCACTTCTGTCCATGGATTCACTCCCCAAGTGGCCACAACAGCTGGAGCTGAGCCACTCCAAAGCCAGAAGCCTCTTCTTGGTCTCCCACACAGGTGCAGGGTCCCAAGGCTTTGGGTCATCCTTGACTGCTTTCCCAGGCCAAAAGCAGAGAGCTGGATGGGAAGTGGAGCTGCCAGGATTAGAACTGGAGACCATATGTGCAAAGCAAGGACTTTAGCTGCTACGCTACTGCGCCAGACCCAGAACGATGCATTTTTACAGAAGTTAAAATCGACTATATAGGAGTACAGGCAGTAGAAACTTGAATTAGGAACTGTTTTTTTAAGTTTCCCTTTTTGAATCTGACATTTTAAAATATTCAATTATCCAGTTTCATGAAAATAGATACAAGCCATTTGTAATTGAAACGTACGGCTCAGCGTTCTTGACTAGAGCGGCTCAGGCCGACTTGAAAAGAAAAGCAGTTGAGTGAAAAATAGAAGATGGCTCAGGAAACAGAGAGACAGGCAGAGGGCCAAGCTTGGGCCTGAAGCAAAGGGAGCCAGGATTGCCCGTGTCCACCATGAGGGCAGGCAGTTCAGAGATGGCCCTGATGCCCATCCACCTGCCCCCAATGTTTCCCAAAGCACCACAGGGTTCTTGGATGCCACGGGCAACTCAAAGTAGGTGCAAACTAACTCGGAGTTTTGTGTCACACCTGAAGATTCTCGGTCCCCACCTGAGCCACCTGATCCTGCATGATCAGTTTCCATATCCTTACTGTTGGGCAAGCCCCACAATGAGAAACGCCTGCTCCCATCTCCTTCCAGTTCTGGTGAGAGGCAGAGAGCTCCCTGCACAATTGGCCTGGAATTTGTTCCCACGTGGAAGGGTCTGGTGAGCTGCTGAAGCAGTGGCTGAAAGTCCAAAAAAGGGAAAGTTCAACCCATTGTCTATTTGAATGAGAACAAATTTCAAATCAAAGTTTCTTTTGTTAAAAGCTGTATTGTAGGCATGTTACCATTTCCAACTTCTTTGTGTTTCTATACAAAGCAAACTAGCTTTAATATTTTACTTGACCTCAATATGTTAATGATGGTCAACTTTGTTGTGCATCAATTGTTGCATAATTTCACATCATTTTATAGAGGAAATGGGGTTTGGAATGGCTTTTTCGATTGGATTGTAAGAATTTGGGGACACAAAGATGGTTGTTTCTCAGACTCCAAATCCTGGCTGTTTGTGGCTCTGTTGAAATCAGTGCTTCTGTCCCAGAATATATAGCCAGAACATAAGGCAATTTTAGACACATCTCAAAGGATTCACAAATGAAAGACAAACTAAAGTATTGTGCAGCCCATTCAGTGTGGAAAGCGCCTGCTTCAAACTGCCCATTCTTAGGTGATAGAAATGTGCTCAAATAGGACTTTGTTTGACAAAGCAGAATAAGGAAAAGAAGGAAGCAGGAAAATCAATAGGAAGTAATTATAGGGTTCTTTCAATGGAACACAATGCAAGACTTTCTCATGCTTTCTATTTTCTGTGCAAGATAATTTTCCTCTAATGGTTGTGACTCCATCATGGTGAAAATTACTCACACTTTGGAACACTTCTCCCCTTTCCTGAACACAGGCAACTTTGAAGTTGCGACCCCCATCTGCTTTAATGACAGCCATCTGGGAAGTTCCTCGCTCTGCCTGAATGCTTTAAAAAAAAAAAACTTCAAAGTTAACCCTTTCTGCTGTAATTTGGATGTGATTTGGGTCTTGACCTCATGCTAACATTAAAATCATAGAGTAATGATAAAAGCGTTAGAACTTAGAGGTTGGAAGATGTGGGTCTGCTCTAAAGGGAGGCTGCTTGGATCCTGTACATGTACTCTCTAAGAAGAGCTCTCATGAAAGAGCTGTCAGAAAACCCAAATTGCACCTAGCCTCTCTCTCTCACACACACACACACACACGAGAGAGAGAGAGAGTAAGAAAGAGAGGGAGAAGAGAGAGAGACTCCACATACACATAGCCATTGCTATACACCAACCTTACCAGTCACTAAACTAAGGGGGGGATCTCCTAATCTTGGACTTGAACTTCCAAAACCCTTTTCATCATAAAGTTCCTTGCCTTAAGTAATTCATTCTAGAACAAATTCTGAGCCATTTAATCTCCCAAAAAGACATTATGCTGCTCCATCCAAGATTATTTGTTTCTCCTCTTATTAACGACACCACTACTCATCCCATTGTCTCCTGGAAAGCTAGAGATTATCTTGACATATCCCTCCACCCTTTTCATTTTTCATCCAAAGCAAGACTAAATTTCTTAACTCCTCACTCAATGCTATATTAAT